TGGTTGGGAAAAATACTTTTTTGTGTGTGCAAATTAACAAATCTTGTTTGCAATCAATGGCTCGCATTCGTGGCAGTATATTGTAGTATAGTGTCCCATAGAAAAAGTTGATTCGGAAAGTAAAGTAAAGGTTTTCTGACAAATCTGTTGGAGTGTACTCATTTATGCTGATCGCTGTTATATATATATATATATATATATATATATATATATATACATATACAGCATATGTAAGTGATTTAACTAAAGGTTGTTGGATAACGTATGTCTTTTTACTGCTGATACAAAGGTGTGCAATAGGGTTGATATCCCTGTTTCCATAACATGGAACATGATTTGCATTGCTGGAAATTTGGTCAAATAATAGAAACTGTAGTTTAATGTGTCTAAATGTAAAATAATGTAGGTAGGGAAAAAGAATCCTTTGACAGAGTGCAGCATTGGGGGTACAGTGTTGTCAATCACTACAGATGGAAAAGATTTGGGGGTACTTGATTGCAAAATGAGCACTGTGGCCAGGCAGTTGGAAAAAAAAAAACGAATAGAATTCTAGGATGCATTACTAGAGGGGTCACCAGTAGAGAAGGAGGTCCTGATTTCCCTACATCAGCAATCTCTCAGTCAGGGTACCACCATAATGTTTGACTGCACGTAAATGTGGCTTCTCCTGGTCCTGGGCATTGACATAAAAGGTACCCATGCATGTATGGATGAGGTGGGTTTGCCTACAACTTGGCATAGTCAGCAGGATATGCCCACCTCATGCATCTGAAGACCACCACTAAAGTGACCATGGCTGTAGATAGCTAGGTAGAATTTGTCTAAGCGACTTTGGATTGTTCAAGGCACTGCTGCCCGATTGGCTGGTACTCTGATAAGGGGCATATATAACAGTCAAGACCTGGAAGCCCCGATAAACCCAATGTGGTTTTCTGGACTATTGCCGTACCATGGCTCAAGAGATCCTTCCATGGAAGTTGGCTGCCAAGCTTTAACCAGAACCCATCATGTTTGATACGGGCTTGTCCTACCAGCCCGTATCTGGACTTTCTGTAAGGGAATCCCGATGAGACAATTGGCGAATAGAATGAAGTGCACGATCACGCAAACGCACGTGCACACACACGGTGAAGATTGGTGCCAGATGAACTATTTAAAAGGTGCTTCTGCCTGTGCTGAGTGCTGACTGGTCTTCAGCTGTTCCCCCATTTCCTGCTCGTTCCTGTATGATTTCCTTGTTGCTGACCTGGCTTGTTCCTGACCCGTCTATTCCTATGACATTGCTCCTGTCTCCCATCCCAGCTTCCTGTCTTACTCTGGTGCACACCCGGCAACCTACTATACCAGCTCTGCATATCACTACTGTTCCTGAATCGGAGGTTCATCAGTCTTCCAAAGTCTCCAACTGCAAGAGCTGCAAACAACATCTGCTGGCGCTTTTGTTCCCCTGGTCCCTGGACACCCTCTGTTCCACTTCCAGTGGGGCCAGGGCTAGTGACACAAGTGAGGAGAAAATTTTGCAAACAGATACATTTTCTCCTTCACAGATGTGCACTGATGAGGCTGCACTGATGAGCAATGATAAGCAGCATTGATGAGGCAGCACTGGTGTGCACTAATGAAACTGCACTGATAGGCAGCACTGATAGGCATCAATGATGGGCACTCAATAGGCAGCACTGAAGGGAACTAATAGGCTGCACTGAAAGGCACTTATAGGCAGCACTGATAGGTGGCACTGGCTGGCAGCACTGATGGGCACTGACTGGCAACACTGATGAGCACTGATTGGCATTGATAAGCAGCACTGATGGGCACTGTTGGGGGCTGCATTGATAATCAGGGCTTTGATAATCAGTGCCCTGATTATCAGTGTAAATATCCCCTTTCACATTTGCTGGTTAGCGGCAGTACTTTCCTCACGCTTTGACAGTGTGAAGAAAGTACTGCAGATAACCCGCAAGTGTGTTTACATTGCGATTAGCTGTGATTGGACACAGCCGATCACGTGATAAAGGGCCTCTGTGATTAGACAGTGCTGAGGTGCTGGGGGCACAATTCTGGGAGGATGTCAATAGACACCCTCCCAGAAACTGGACGACCACGCTGTAGCCCTCATTCAGCTATAATGGAGTCAGCAAGTGGTTAATTTGTAGAGATTTCCTCTCACTTCCTATTTTGGCTATGGGACAGGAAATGAAGGTAAATCTCCCCAATGGGACACAGATGTAAAAAAAAAAAATTTCACATGGGTTTTATCCCTCCCATACTCTATCCAAAAAAAAAACAAAAAACTGTTTTGCCTATAGTACTACTGAGGGTTACAAGAAGGTATCCAAACAGAGTAATAAGAATACCAGCAACAATTCTTACATTTGCCCAACAATATGAAAAAATGATCCTGGGGTACTTTTAATGGATGCCAGCATCCCTAAAGTATATAACTGTATCAAAAGAAAACCCCCATGGTTTGGACTTTAAAGACATCAGTATATGGGTAAAAATATAAATCTTTTGTTTTAAAAATATCAGCCATAAAATATTATATGGATGGTTATCTGAAGGTAAGTGCAATAACACTATACAAAGGTATATCAACATTACAGAGTTCCTGAATAACATCCAATGAATTTCAGAGTACGTCTACTCCTTCTTCAGGGATGAGACTCTGCATAGGTGATATAGCCTCCAGAAGCTGAAACATACATATTTAGATCATACAGCAATTCTATCAGCAAGTGTATACAGCATCACTGTGTAAACATATACAATACTCACAACATAGTACAGTGAGAGTCAAAAAAAGGGAAAACGTTTCAGCCACATTAAAACCATTTGGTGTGTAGCCGAGTTCACAAATCCTCCCCAGACTACATCCAGGCAGGCACCAACCGAACAAGGACCCCCCAAAAAGGCACTGAGGCCACACTGATAGCCACAGAGGGGAACTATGTAACAAAAATAGTAACAATAATTACAACCAAAAATACAAAAAAAAGTGATATCTTATCCTGTGTAAAGAGTAGCCAATAGGTCTAACAAAAAAGCCACCATTGCTAGTACAGGTGCAGGTTCTATCGTAGCAAATATTATTTGAGAACTAATAGGGGAACACAGCTCCATACATAGTAAGGTCCTCCAGCTTTTTAAAAAAAAGACTAATCCAGGAAATACCTGGAAGAAATATCAAATAGAAATCCCCGTATAAATGGTGGAAAAATATATGGGTATAATCACATATCCAACCACATTGTGGGGTAATCAAAAGAAAAGGAGCAGGCTTACCTAAGTGGAGAAATAGTTACAGAACCGCACAGTGATGGGTCAGCCTTGTGCACCAAGTATAGTGAAAGAGAAATTAGATCAAATGTAGGAGATCTATTTATCCCTGAAGAATGAGTAGACTTACTCTGAAATGCCTCAGCTGCTATTCAGGAACTCTGTAATGTTGATATACCTTTGTATGGTGTTACATAGTTACATAGTTAGTCTGGCTGAAAAAAAGGCAAAAGTCCATCCAGTTCAACAAAAGAAAAAAAAAAGAAAAAGATATAATCCTATACCCACAGTTGATCCTTTTGAAGGAACCCCCCCCCCCCTTCCCAGCAAAGCATGATCCAATTTGCTCCTGAAAAAGAAAAAAATTCCCTCCTGATCCCCCGAGAGGCAATTAGATATTCCCTGGATCAACTTTACCTATAAATGTAAGTAACCAGTTATATTCTGTGTATCCAAGAAAGAATCCAGGACTTTTTTGAAGCAATCCACTGAGCTGGCCAGAACCAACTCTTGAGGGAGTCTATTCCACATTTTCATAGCTCTTACTGTGAAGAAACTTTTCCACATTTGGAGATTACATTCTTTTCCTCCAGATGTAAAGAGTGCCCCCTTGTCCTGAACCATGTTGATCATATCCCCCCCTTAATCTCCTCTTATCAAGGGAGAATAAATTTGGTTCCTCCAATCTTTCCTCATAGCTGAGCTCCTCCATGCCTCTTATCAGTTTGGTTGCCATCTTTGTACTTTCTCCAGTTCCCCAATGTTCTTTTTGTGAATTGGTGCCTAAAACTGAACTGCATATTCCAGATGAGGTATTACTAATGATTTGTACAGGGGTACAATGATATCTCTCTTTCTGGAGTCTATACCTCTTTTAATACAAGAGGGGATTTTGCTCACTTTGGAAATTGTAGCTTGGCATTGCATGCCATTATTAAGCTTGTGATCTACCACAACTCCCAGATCCTTCTCCACCATTGATTCCCCCAGTTGTACCCCCCTACTATGCATGATGCATGCATATTCTTAGCCTCCAAGTGCATAACCTTACATTTTTCAGGCCTAGACGATCGGAAGAGGAAGTTGTCCTCCCCCCTCTCTCCCCGTAGACTTATGGGACACATGACAGGTCCCAGAAGACTATGGGGCCATTCACAAAGCCCAGCACTTCTCGCGCATGCGCAATGGGAACTTGGCTGTGAAGCCGCAAAATGTCACAGCCGGATGCCCACACTGAAGATGCCAGCGCAGGGGAGAGAAGACAGACGGTGAAACCAGCCATGGTGAGGACACTGCTGGACTGAGGGAAAGGTAAGTGTTTTTTTTTCCAGTTGGAGCTCCGCTTTAACCACTTGCCTACCGGGCACTTTCACCCCCTTCCTGCCAAGGCAAATTTTCAGCTTTCAGCGCTGTTGTACTTTGAATGACAATTGCGAGATCATGCAACACTGTACCCATATGACATTTTTATAATTTTTTCACATGAATAGAGCTTTCTTTTGGTGGTATTTACTCACCACTGGGTGTTTTATTTTTTGTGCTATAAACAAAAAAAGAACAAAACATTTGAAAAAAAAAGGTTTTCTTTGTTTCTTTATAAAATTTTGCAAACAGGCAATTGATGAGGCTGCACTGATAGGCAGCACTGATGGGCACTGATAGGCGGCACTGATGGGCACTGATAGGTGGCACTGATGAGGTGGCATGGATAGGCAGCACTTATGGGCACTGATAGGCAGCACTGATGGGCACTGATAGGCAGCACTGATGGGCACTGATAGGTGGCACTGATGAGGTGGCATGGATAGGCAGCACTTATGGGCACTGATAGGCAGCACTTATGGGCACTGATAGGCAGCACTGATGGGCACTGATAGGCAGCACTGATAGGTGGCACTGATGAGGTGGCATGGATAGGCAGCACTTATGGGCACTGATAGGCAGCACTGATAGGTGGCACTGATGAGCTGGCACTGATGAGGCGGCAATGATATGCAACAATGATGGGGACTAATAGGTGGCACTGATAGGCAGCACTGATGGTCAGCATTGATGGGCACTGATGGGCGGCACTGACTGACGGCACTGACTGGTGGCACTGCTGGGCACTGATGGGTGGCTCTTCTGGGCACATGGGTGGCACTGCTGGGGCACTGATGGGTGGCACTGCTGGGCACAGGTGGGTGGCACTACTAGGCACTGATGGGCACAGCTGGGTGGCACTGCTAGGCACTAATGGGCACAGGTGGGTGGCACTGCTGGGCACTTGTGGGTGGCACTGATTGGCACAGGTAGGTGGCCCTGGTGGTGGCACTGCTGGGCAATGGTGGGTGGCACTGCTGGGCACAGGTAGGTGGCACTACTAGGCACTGATGGGCACAGCTGGATGGCACTGATGGGCACTAATGGGAACAGGTGGGTGGCACTGCTGGGAACTTGTGGGTGGCACTGATGGGCACAGGTAGGTGGCCCTGGTGGGTGGCACTGCTGGGCACTGATCATCAGTGCCCTGGGGATCGGTGCCGATTCATCCTCTGACAATTGCTGGTTATTGGCAGTACGAGTGTGCCATCCAATTACTCTGTTGTTGGTCTCTAGAGAGTTGTTAGCCTTCAGGCAGGCCAGCTTGAATCTTTTATCATATATCTCAGGAATGTAAGTGCATTACAAATCCAAATTTGTCTTCTTGCCATTTAGACCAATTTATTTTCATGGAGGGCCTACATACTGTCAGGTAACAAAGCTACCACAAAAAAGTTATATTAAAACATATCTATGTAGAACCTAAAGGACTTTTAATGTGCTTCCATTCAGGGTAACAAAGGTTTAGAGTTACATGAAATCACATTTTTATTTAATGAATTTAAAACAGAATTAAAAATAATAATTCCAAAAACATTATGGAAGTGCAGTCACCGCTGCTAAAACAACCTGCTATAAAGTGTATAGCAAATGGACACCTCTGGCACAATCACAATGTATCAAATGATAAATTTGGTCCACAGTATATGTTACAATGAATCAGATTGCTGTATTATAACGTATACCGTGGACCAAATATATCTTGTGATAAGGGTGATTGTGCCAGAGGTATCCACTTGTGTACACTTTATAGCAGATTTTAACAGTGCTGATTACACTTCCATAATGCTTTTGGAATTATTATATTTAATTCTGTTATAAATGTATTGAAGAAAAAAACGAATGTATGTAACATTTGTTGAAAGTGTTAGCCTGAAAGGTAGCATCTTGAAAGTCTCTTAAACTCTCTATAAATATGTTATAACAGTTAAGTTGGGGATGAGATGCTACTGATTACCCAGTGGTTGCACACATAAATTATATTAGAGGATATGTATTACTTTGATACTCATAGATAATCCCTTCCACATTCTTTTTAAATGTATTGCAAGAGCACTGCTTTATTTCTCCAGACCCTAAGCTTGTCTTGCTGCCAGAATAATGATGCTGGAAAAGAAATAGTAACAATATCTTTCTCTTGATTTATTATATTGATTAAATGCAAATTGCATCATGTTTTTTCTCTCTTGTGGGCAAAAAGATTAATCCAGTCCTCTTCAAAAGTATTGTAAGTTTCTGCCGTATGTTGATGGCCACTGGTGCCTTTCTCTTCTAAGCCTCTTCAAGATGTAAAGGTGGAATTCTGTCATCTACAGTAAAGTGTTTCTCTACTCCCCCCAGTAAAAGCACTGTCCTCTGTTTAACAATGTCTACACTTAATTAGCTCTTGCAGTCTACAAAGAGTAAAATTATATACAGTGCCACAGATAGAAGAGCAACACTCATTTGGTTTTTGTGCGACAACATCTACAGTTAATTAGTTCTTGTATTCTGCAAAGAGTAATATTATATACAGTGCATCTTACAGGAAAGCAACAGTCATTTGCTTATACAGAGCCAACATCTTTAACACATTGTAGGCACAATTTCAATTTCTGGCTTTAATTTTCTTCAGCTTTGAATTGCATGAAAGATTAGTTAAATGGCAACAGATGACTCTTCTCTCTGCCAATAATTTTGTTTCTTTGTTTTGCTTCAGAATTTAAAAGTAAACAGTGTTTCTGCTATAGTTTCACAGCTCAACTCCAGTAAAAACAATATATTTATATGTAGCACTGCCTGCTTAGTAGTCACTGAAATTTTGGGTCCCCCTATAGTCCTGCACAGCCAGGCAACATGCATTTTCCTTTCAGACTCGCATACAGGAGACACTAACCAGTTCTTGAGCTTGTTTTTGGATTTTATTAAGGGAATTTAAACTTGGATAGGGTAAGGGGTATATGGGATGCCCAAGGGAATGGCAACAGAGGACAAACTTCCTGGAACTATATACAAGTCTATTTAACAACAAAAATTGATCTTTTGGAGAGCTAGCCAGCATCTCCTGTTGTACCACCCCAGGCCCAGATACTCCTCTATCCAGCTTTTCTGGGTGAATCCCTGGGCAGTGGATCCAGTGCCGGTCACTTTAAGGGTGAGGAAGTCTCTGGGTAGCAGCTAATCCAGTTTCCCACCAGAGTGCTCCTTCCCAATATTGTTCCAGGGGGTGCAGGTTTGCTCACTCAGTCCTCCTATGAGCTGCTGGGTCTTGGCTGCTCTCAGGCCTTCTGCTGGGCCGCTTCTTCCCTGCTGCATAGTCCTTGCTTTGGAGGTTGATGAGGTCCTTAGCTTTCCTCCTTTCCAACTCCTCTGGCTGAAGGTGAGCCTCTTCCCATCTGGGCCCCCTCTCAGGCTCCTGTTCTCCATCCTTTCACTTCTCCATCTTCCACCCAAACTCTCCCTGCTGCTGAGCAGGCTCAGTCACTCTTAAGGGCTGTCCTGGCCCCAAGCCAAGCCTCCTGTTGGGGATTGACCAGGATCCCCTGAGAGTGCAGACGAACCACTGCTAACTTCCTCCCACTGGTTCTAGAATTTTCTCCAGAACTCTGGAGCAGGGGCAGGGGTGGACTGACAACTCATGGGGCCCCCGGCAATAGGGGATCATGGGGCCCCTGTGTCCTTGCCACACTCAAAGCACACCCAAAAAAGCCTTTAAAAAGGTACCAGGGGCATTTCATGGGGCCCCCTACTGACCCCGGGCCCTCGGGCTGTGCCGAGTGCTCAAATGGTCAGTCCGCCCCTGAGCAGGGGTAGTCCAGAGCCTCTCAGCTCTGACCTGAATTTGACCTCCTTCGGACTATTAACACAGGCTGCTACTCAGCCTCTATCTAACAATTGGACTCTAGCTCTTCCTAGCTATCAAGGAGGGTGTTACATATATATTATAAAAGAAATAGAAGCAACTGCTATTGTGAGTAGTAAACCATGCATGAGACAGGGACACCCAGTAGCATTCAAATCATGTTTGTCCTGCACTGTGGGGCTGTGTACAGCAAGTCCATAGTTTTAAAACAAAACATCTGCTCAGCTGAGCAGCTCACAAACCTCAGGTCAATTCCTGACTAACAGGGTGCCCCCTAATGGGTCCCCCAAAACAGACAGTGAGAACATGTACCTTTTTAGTGTTTTGTCATCACTCTGCTTTTACATTCTGTAGTAATCTCCATTATATCGCTTCTTCAGGAGCTATGAGAAGATTTCTAGAAAAAACAATAAAGTAACATTGATAAACACACATATATTCTATTTAAAATGAATACAGCATACACATGTCAGTACAAATGGTAGTAGAACAGATACAATAACTCTAAATACATACATCTGCACATAGACAATGGAGGGGGGCACCCGATGACACCTTAAGAGAGGCCAATCAATGAGGGGATCCCAACAGGACCAAAGGAGTAGACTGCATGCCCTATAATGATGCATGGTGCATAGATAGGTATATTAGTGTTCATAAAGTGGTAAAAAGGCCCAACTGTCTGGTAAAGATAACATATATCAAGGAATGATACTCACCTCCCCATTAGGTAAACATGGTAAGGCCACTAACTATTCCCCAAGTAATATACACCTTGATTTAGTCTAAGAGGCCAGTATTACATATAAAATAACCATTGTCTATGTGCAGATGTTTGTATATAGACTTATTGTATTTGTTCTACTACCATTTGTATTAACATGTGTATGCTCTATTCATTTTACGTAGGATATATGTGTGTTTGTCAATGTTACCTTATTCTTTTATCATGAAAACTTCTCATAGCTCCTGAAGAAGCATTATAATCACGAAACATGTTGAGCCATCATCATCATCACTATATTAAGAGTACCCCTTTCAGTTATTGCCCTGACGTGGCATATCTATGATGTTGTGGGGCCTACTAATAGTATGTTAATCTCATTGATTTCCTCATATGTTACAGGGTTAGGTTATATCCTCAAGCTTACCGCCATCCACGACCTCTTTGTTTCCCGCTCCCTCAACCTCCTAGCGATCACGGAAACCTGGATCCAGCCCACTGACTCTACCTCCCCTGCTGCACTCTCCTACGGAGGTCTCACCTGGACCCACTCCCCCAGACCGAACGGTCGTAAAGGTGGTGGGGTTGGTCTGCTCCTGTCACCGCAGAGCACCTTCCGAGTCCTCCCAAACCCCCCTCCCTATCCTTCTCCTCCTTCGAGGCCCACTGCCTCCGACTATTCTCCCCAACCCCCCTGAAGATTGCTGTGATATACCGGCCTCCTGGATCCATACCCCGCTTCCTGGATGACTTCTCCTCCTGGCTACCCTTCTTCCTCTCCTCTGAGCTACCCACCATAATTCTTGGGGATTTCAACATCCCTGTCAACCTCGACAACCCGGACACAGCCCGTCTCCTCCACCTAACCTCCTCCTTTGCACTTGCACAGTGCATACAATCCACCACCCACTCCGACGGAAATATCCTGGACCTTGTCTTCTCCAACCGCTGCGCTCCCCACAACCTCACTAACACCCCCTTCCCTCTCTCTGACCACAACCTGATCACCTTCTCTATCTCCTCGTCCTCCAACGCCTACCCCTCCAAATGTCACACTACTACCAGCCGTAACCTCCGCAACCTTAACCCTGCCTCCCTCCACTCTGCAGCTGATCAACTCCACGACCGCATCCTCCCCCTGTCCTGCCCCGACTTGGCTTTGACCGCCTACAACAATGCGCTCTCAACAGCCCTCGACTCACTAGCGCCTTTAACCACACGCAACATCAGACCCCGACCGCTCCAGCCCTGGCAGACTGATCACACCAAAACCCTCAAACGACAAAGTCGTGCCCTGGAGCGACTATGGCGCAAAACCAAATCCCAACAAGCCTTCATCCGCTACAAATCTGCCTTCCACACCTACACCTCCTCCCTCCATGCTGCCAAACAGGCCTACTTCTTGACCCTCATCAAGGCCCTCTCCTCCAATCCTCGCCGACTCTTCTCTGCCTTCAACTCTCTACTCTCTCCACCCCCCCACCTCCACCCAGCACCTCACTCACTGCCCTTGAGATTGCCAATCACTTCAAAAACAAAATTGACACAATTCGCAAGGACATTGCCGCAACTCACACACCCTCTCAACCCGTCCCCTCTCACACAGCTACCCCCTTATCCCCCCTCCCCCTCGACATAACCCGCAGGGACTTCGTCGCTGCTCAAACTCTCTCCAACCCCCTTCACCCTCACTCAGCTACCCCCTCATCACCCCTCTCCCACAGCCCCCCACCACTGCTCTGACCTCCTCTTCCACCCCACCCTACATTCCTCATACTGAAGCTCCCCCAACACTCCACACCTTTGACCTTACTACCATCGAGGAAGTCTCCAAGATCCTCTCTGATGCCCGCCTCACCACCTGCCCCCTCGACCCTATCCCCTCACAACTCCTACGACCTTCCTCCTCCTCCATCCTACGCTCCCTCACCCACATCTTCAATCTCTCCCTCTCCTCAGGCACTTTCCCCTCCCCTCTGAAACATGCACACATCACCCCCATACTTAAAAAGCCCTCCCTGGACCCCAATGACCCGAACAACCTCAGACCCATCTCCCTGCTCCCATTTACATCTAAACTCCTCGAGCGCCTCGTCTACACCCACCTATGCTCTCACCTCAACGACAACAACCTCCTCGATCCCCTACAGTCTGGCTTCCGTCCCCTACACTCCACCGAAACTACCTTACTCAAACTCTCCAACGACCTGCTAACCGCCAAAGCTAATGGCCACTATTCAGTGCTCCTACTCCTTGACCTCTCTGCGGCCTTCGACACAGTCGACCACCCCCTCCTCCTCAAAAAACTACACTCCCTCGGCCTCAGAGATTCTGCTCTCTCCTGGCTCTCATCCTACCTGTCACAACGCTCCTTCAGCGTTACCTATAATGCTACCACCTCCCCCTCACTCCCCCTCTCTGTTGGGGTCCCTCAAGGCTCTGTCCTCGGGCCCCTTCTCTTCTCCATCTATACCTCCTCCCTTGGCCAACTCATACACTCTCACGGCTTCAACTACCACCTCTATGCCAACGACACACAAATCTATCTCTCAACCCCCCACCTCACCCCCTTGGTCTCAGCCCGAATCACACACCTACTGAGCGACATATCAGACTGGATGTCGCTCCACTTCCTTAAATTGAACCTCTCCAAAACCGAGTTTCTTGTCTTCCCCCCAGCCCGGACACCACCCCCCATTGATTTCTCCGTCACATCCAACAACGCTACCATCAAACCCGCCCTGCAGGCCAGAGTACTGGGTGTCATTCTGGACTCCAACCTATCCTTCCAGCCCCAAGTCCAATCTTTAACAAACTCGTGCAGACTCCACCTCCGCAACATCGCCATCGCCAAAATCCGCACGTTCCTAACCCCAGAAACCACTAAACAGCTCATCCACTCCCTCATCATATCACGACTCGACTACTGCAACTCCCTCCTCACTGGCCTGCCTCGCCGCTGGCTATCCCCTCTTCAGTCCATCCTGAACACGGCTGCCAGACTCATTCACCTTTCCAACCGCTCTGTCTCCGCCACCCCCCTCTGCCAATCCCTCCACTGGCTTCCGATTGCGCAACGGATCAAATTGAAAATCCTAACGCTGACGTACAAAGCTGTCCACCATACTGCCCCGTACTACATCTCTGACCTAATATCCAAGTACCGCCCAGCACGCACACTCCGCTCCTCACAAGACCTCCTTCTCTCTAGTTCCCTGGTCTCCTCCTCCCATGCCCGCCTCCAGGACTTCTCCAGGGTGTCACCCATCCTCTGGAACTCCCTGCCCCAACCCATCAGATTATCACCTACTCTCCTCTCCTTTAGGCGCACCCTGAAAACCCATCTCTTCAGGGAAGCCTACCCCACCCCCTGCTAACTTGCCGACCTCCTCCACTCTTCCTACCACTCCATCCCCCACTGCTATCTCCTCCTGTGCCACCACCCCCTCCCTCCTAGATTGTAAGCTCGAAAGAGCAGGGCCCTTGATCCCCTCATGATTTGCATTGTATTGGTATTGTTCTGTCACATGTTCTGTCTCCCTTTGTAATGTACAGCGCTGAGCGAACTACTGGCGCTTTATAAATACTGTATAATAATAATAATAATAATAATAATATTCTGTAAGGATTTTATATGTGTACATGTTTAATAAAGCATTGCATTTTATGAATTATCGTTGCAGTGCCTATAAAGTCCATGAATTTCATTCAATCTACATTTAGCCAATGTTAGGATAAGGCACTTTAGAACTTTTATTTTGCCCCCCCCCCCCCCCCCAGTAACCACCCTGTGTTTGTGAGCATTCATTTTCATCATTAACTGAGAATAACTGCAGGAATAGTGGCTTATTGCCACTAAGCTCTACAAAGTCCCTGGGCTCAGAAACCAGAAAACTAAATTAGGTTTTCTCAATATCCAGCATCAACTGGAGTCTTTCACCATGTGTAAGTGAGAAATCTAGGTGACACACTGTATACACCATCCACAGCTAGAGATGAGATCCATGAGTTCAACCCTAACCCAGCCTGCTCACAGTTCAGAAATTCAAATGTAAATAAAGAAACCCACACCATGGAAAAGTCCTTTAATGCAAAAGAAAAAAAGAAATAATTTGATGTCAGTGAAATAATCAGTGATATAGATCCATTTAGCACGCCCCAAGAATGTTATTTAAATTATCTGTGCATGTCCTAAAGGCTGCATGAGAAGACACTCCT